GCCTTCTGAACGTTGGCCTTGTGGCGACACCTGGCACAGCCTTCTGAACGTTGGCCTTGTGGCGACACCTGGCACAGCCTTCTGAACGTTGGCCTTGTGGCGACACCTGGCACAGCCTTCTGAGCGTTGGCCTTGTGGCGACACCTGGCACAGCCTTCTGAACGTTGGACTTGTGGCGACACCTGGCACAGCCTTCTGAGCGTTGGCCTTGTGGCGACACCTGGCACAGCCTTCTGAGCGTTGTGGCGACACCTGGCACAGCCTTCTGAGCGTTGGACTTGGAGTACAAGATGTTCTTTGATATAGCACTACTTTAATACATGTACAGATGTTCTTTGATATATAGCACTACTGTAGTACATGTATAGATGTTCTTTGATATATAGCACTACTTTAATACATGTATAGATGTTCTTTGATATAATGTACAGCACTACAATAAACGTGTCAAGTTAGGCAATGTACATAATTGAAATTCATTCAACATTCATACAGTTAGGGAATTAGTACATGACCAAAGGGCACTAGTCGCTCCTGCCACAAAGGATGCCTCTACATGTGTATGGAAATGTGTCAAATGAGAGTTTGCTTGTACAAAATGTACATGTAGTCTGCCCCAGAATTGGCCACGGTTTGTCTTTCACCTCCGCTTCCTAAGGGCAAGTCCGGAACTTTGTCGACATTCCCTTACAAGGAGATCCTTGTGGGACTCATTCCTGGTTAGTTGTCCTGTCGCCAAAAGTCAAATCGGCGCCAAAGTTGACCTGACCGTTATCCCTGATGGGTTTGTAGGTTTCCAGAGGGTCGGGTTTTTCCTGTGGTGACGTCTGCCCGACCACGACCGCTGTCTCCTTCACGTCTGCCGAGAGCTGAGTCACGTGCAGGGTGTGGGCGGCCAGGGGGGTGGTCTCAGCGAACACGTGTCGGTACAGCAAGGCCCCACTCACGGCCCCCACTGTAGGACCTGCCCAGTACACCTGTGGGACACACAGACAGACATGACACATCCCAGTACACCTGTGGGACACACAGACAGACATGACACATCCCAGTACCCATGGGGGACACACAGACAGACATGACACATCCCAGTACACCTGGGGGACACACAGACAGACATGCCACATCCCAGTACACCTGGGGGACACACAGACAGACATGACACATCCCAGTACACCTGGGGAGACAGACAGACAGACAGACAGACAGACAGACAGACGATAAAGACTTTACATCTTCTGTTGTTTTGTACAGTTTAGTGGACCGCCCAGTCTATGACAGGGTAGGGTGTA